TATTCCGAGTTAGACACTTTTCATACCTTAGAGATGCAAATACCCAATATGATACCTTACGTATGCAAATTAAGAGCATTTAAAAGCGTTTTATTCAAACTTTTAAAATTTAGAAGCAATTATTAAGACATATACTTAAGAAAAACCAGAAAAAAGGAGATTCGTATGTGTGCATATTTAAGAAATAGATAAAATAAAAAGAAGCTATACATAAAATTTCAATATTAGTATGTTACAGCAATTATAACTCCAGGTTCAAAAAATCTATTTTAGAAACATTACGTTTTTTGTTTACTATATTGCAATATAATGTACAAATTGTCTTCCGCCCGATTTGCATACACTAGGTATCATATTGAATATTTGCATTTATAAGGTATGAAAAGCGTCTAACACGGAAAAACTCTATTAAATACAACGAAATATTTGGTTTGTACAGTTGCACGGTTTAAATGCGATAACTCTACTCTGTGTCTAGTTTGCATAAATATCTCCATACATAACAATAGCACTCACCGTGCCAAAAACCAGTCGAAATGGTGGCTCTTGATTGGTTACTCGTAATAAAACAATAAACCTTGTAGGGTCCCAACGAGAATAAATCTTATAGAAATTTACCATCAAGGACATTTATAAAATACTAATACTTTATAGGCTTGATTTTAAAAAACGTTTAAGAGAGTTTTTGATCGATCAGAGGTTAGCATGGAAAAAGGACAATCGATGTTAACATGGCGTACAAGACTATGTTATGGTGTTGGCCACATTTTAAACGATCTCACAGCTTCAATGTGGTTCACATATTTACTTGTGTATCTCCATAAAGTTATCGGGTTCTCGAGCGTCAACTCTGGTTTTCTTCTACTGATTGGACAAGTTGCGGATGCGTTGGCTACTCCTCTAGTAGGCATTGAATCGGACCGAACCACTGGTTGTAAATACGGCAGGAGAAAGATTTGGCATGTCGTCGGAGTCGTTTCTGTTGTAGTTTCTTTTCCTTTTATTTTCAACCTGTGTATTAAGTGTGAGAGGACTGCTCATTGGGCTCAGTTTATCTACTACTCGCCTTTCATCGCAGTTTTTCAGTTTGGCTGGGCAGCCACACAGATTTCTCATCTCTCTTTGATTCCTGAGTTGGCGTCCAACGAGAATGAGAAATGCGGATTGAATGCCCTCAGGTAGGCCAAAGGTTACTGTAAATCATATATCATTGAATGCATTAACATTGTTATTGAAGAGAGATCTCAGCAAGATGTTTGTAAAAACATGTTATAAGGTCAAGGAAATTAGGAATTATTTGGCGAAATTAGTTTATAGCCTTATAGCATGAAGCAGATAACTGAACAAACGCACGTGAAATCATGTAACATCGGAAAACAGAAACAAATATCTGTTAAAATTCCTCTAACTAATTTGTATGTGCCAATCCGTGACTGCAAATTAAATGAAATGGCTATTCTAATGAAATGGCTATTCTAATGAAATGGCTATTCTAATTTCTAAGGAAATAAAGCTAAATGACAAAAAACTTTTATTCTCAATAAAGTGATAGCAAGCAAATTTGGTAAGACAAAGCTAGAGTGAATTCAAGCGAAGCACAGGCGTTTGCAACAAATTAATATACAGGGTGGAATAAAGGTTCATTGACATATAATACAACGACATGCAAATCGGTAAACAACTTACACAGTCTGAATAAACAAAAATGACGACACGTTTCGAAATATTGCAAGAAGTGCGTAGAGATGATTGACTCTATCGGTTTTATTTTAATTTTGTTCATGTCATATTAACTCATCATTATAAATCTAATGATTTTAATTAAACCCGAATAAAATCCGACGAGAATCCGATAAAGCCGATACTACACGTGATTCGATGTAGATTATTAACTAGAAGTCGATCGGACTTCACGTTGTATCAACATAATGGCCGCAAGATCTGCCACAACTCCGTTGAAAACAAAACATCGAGATTTAAGTTGGCGAAATTTGATATTTTATAGCTTTGGTCACATATTAAACGACCTGGCGGCAGGAACATGGTTCACTTACTTGCTCATTTACATGAAAAACATCGTGAAGTTTTCAAGCGCCTCGGCGGGTACGCTACTTCTACTCGGCCAGCTTTTCGACGCTGTTTTTACGCCAGTGGTAGCGATGGAAATGGATAATACGAGGAAAATGAAATACGGCTCCAAAAAGCACTGGCACTTAGCTGGAAGTGTTCTCTTAGCAATAGCCTTTCCATTCGTCTTTAATCTGTGTATCGAATGCGAGAATAGCGACCATTGGGCTATGCTTTTCTACTATGTACCTTTTATTTTCTTGCTTCAGTTGGGATGGGGATGTGCGCAAATTGCACATCTTTCACTCATCCCAGAGATAGCCGATACCGTCCACGATAAATGTGATTTAAATGCCRGCAGGTAAGTACTGTGGTCGCGACATTTGATATGCATATAAACAATACGGCATCTATAAATATATATCTATAAATTGTTACACAATGCTGTACGTGACGCATGTACAAATGTTTTTCTAATGTTTACGATTGACTAGTGGTGATACAATACATCATAGATTTATGGAATATGTCTGGACAGTACGAGATCAGAAAACATTTTATAATGTGAGGCAAGAGAGGGGAGTACTAATCCGATCAATTGTTGCTTTGTTTGTACGGAAGGCCACTACTGTTCCTTTAATCTTTGTATTAGAGCGGATTTCGTATGAGTGGGAAACGGACGGTACTGTACTGTGTCCGTAATCGTACTGTAACCAATTTCTAGTGCCCCATTGTTTCACCAAAATTCTGCAGGCCAGGTGCGGTAACGGTGCGGTAACGGTGTCCCGCTCATACGAAATCCGCTCTATCAACCGTTTACATTTTTGGTCTGGAGTTGGAGTAGAAGGATGATGTACGTGGCGTGGAAGAATAAATTATGACATCGCGTTTGCCATTATTCCGTCTGAGCATAGTTAATAGTTAACTATGGTCTGAGATTCATTTGCTTCTGTGTGAGAAGGACGGTGATGATAAGTTTTTAACAAAAGTTCGAAATATCAGGTGCTGCGATGCCATCTTTAAAATCGCATCCGCGTACATGAAAACGAGGTTTTTCAGGAAAACGAAATAACACGGGTCATGTATSTACGATTTGTTTTTTTTTTTTATTTAGTAAAATTTCAGTGGCCAGGAAAAGGTGCAAAGTATAGCTTGGCAAAATGAATCTAGTTTTACTTGTTCGTCGCGCTTGAAAGAAAAGGAATGCGGGAATTCTTCGTTTTCAAGAAACGTCACAGCGGCCATCTTGTAGGAACTTCAGCAAAGTATTTCTCATTAGTATCTATTGTTCATTCCTCCAACATGGCCGCCGCGATCTTATATCTTTTGAATCTCATGGGAATGGTTGGAAAAGATCAATTTAAGAATTTCAAAAATGGCAGTAGAGGGACTATGAGACGAAACGTTGAAGCGAGGTGTCAAAGGCAACATCAAGATAAACGAAAATTACACTCATGACAGTCTCAAAGTTCCCGCTAGGAAGCGTTTAAGAGCTTGCCTTTGAGACCTCGTGGTTTYTGATAGGTACCTATCATGATAGGTATTTGATATCTAATATTGTTTGGTGATTTGCACGATGGCGTYTCATACTTCCAAGATCAGAATGCTTTGTCCACTTTCTGTTGTAATGTAGTTATTAGATTGTTATAATTGTTTTAATTTCCAAAGGGATAAAAGAACTAAATAAGAAAATAGGAAWGGCATTCCGTTTGGGCTAATTATACAACAAAAGAAAGTGAGCAAAGCATTCTGGTCCTTGTAATATGTGACGCCTTCGTGCAAATCGTCTATTCTTATGTGTTTTGCTTTGTTAAGATATGCTGCAACTGTGACGTCCAATATATTTGTCTTCGTTATCACGTGGATAATGCTAAGTTCTGGGAAAGAAGAAGCGAATCCCAATCAACTGAACAAATCAGATGCCAAGGCCTTTACTGTGAGTACTAAATGTCAATGTATAGCAATGGCTAGAATCTGTGCTCTATAATAAATARATAAATTTAAATACTTCTTTAGTACGTAGTGCTGATAGTAGTGGGCGTTGGTCTGTTCTTTGTGACCTTGTTTCACTTGGGGGTTAAGGAGCAATCACGTGACTGTTCACATGAATTTGCAACAAGATCAAGTAAGCGTTCAGCGTCTAACTGGGCCATGTGGTTTCGAGTACCTCTCTTTTATCAGGTATTATAAAGGTTGTATATAACGTGTGTTCTTTTGTTTCGTTGACATGCGTAGTTTTTCCAAACACAAATATGGAGTGCTTTTTATACTTTATGGGGCCTTCCCGGTAGGGAGGTCAGGTGGTATGGGCTCTCTTGATMACTAGACAATTTTACAATTACTCCTTTGAWCCCTAAAATATTTTTGGAAACCTCCCCCAAACAAAYTTTGTTTTGATCCACACAMATAAAAATACTTTAAATAATTCCCCATGACATACTTCCCTGCATTCATGCTCAGGTATGCACCAKACCCCTAAAGATGACAGAGATTTCACAATATTCCATTTTCTAATACAAMGCGAATAACAGCTGTTTTACTTATTTAAGCAGCAGATTCTCTTACGCARAGATTTACAATAACAACATTTTTCATTCGTGCTTACTTTTGTTTTCGGTAAGGTCTTTGTGAGAGAATATGTTGTCAAATAAAACCCGATTATTCGCCAAGCCAGCTGTTAGTCACAACTGGTTGTCAGCAAAGTTATGATACATGCAGAAATATTTTATTTTAAATCACTTCAAATTGGTTACGCCTACGTTGCCGATGGTTTGCAGTCTCAGTTTACATGGGGTTGTCAATCTAAATCAATTCGCCCTTTCTTTTTTTGACATGYATTGTTTTGTACGTCAGTCGGCCTCGTGACCTAGTCATGATATCTACGGCTTCACTGTGACCAGCTGGTTTGTTTATAAGCCATGAATGTAAATCATGACAATGACAAAACCAAAGGCTTTAGTAGTAGTTAGTTCAGTTCGGTAAAAATTAAGATGTAATAGAGATTTAAATTACTTATATAGACAATTCTGTCTTGAACTATTTCGAGGCGGGTTTGTAGTACGTATTCCATATATGGCACAAGCGTGTAGAACAAACTAACAAGCGAATAGAAGCATCGACTTATTCGAACTTTTTAGCTACGCCTTAACTTATTAAAAATTTTCTTATAAAATTTTAACTTAGAATAATGAATTTTTAAACATTTTGTAGCCTGACCCGTCCTTTCCCCTAAACCTATAACCCTTTGACTAGAGCTACAAATGTAAAGCGCGTTAACTAACTTGACCACGAGGGATTACGCTGGCAAGCAACGAATTGTTTGTGACATTTAAAGTATTTTGCATTGCTAATAGCACCGTTAAATTGGGRTTTTTTCGGGGCCGCTATTCRCTTGTTAGGKRCYKCTATWCGCTTGTTAGGGACCGCTATACGCTTSTTAGTTAATACCATATATGGAATACGTATGACAACCACTACTCACTATTTCAAACAAACCTMTATCGTGAAAATTAAATACTTATAGCTTAATGATGACAGCTGACCATTGTCGCAGCTACAGGAAGCCCACGTAAGCGATCTATGATCGTCTAGTTCAAATCAAGCTGCCAATGGCAATACAACTCGAAGATTGATTGTGTAGACGAATACGGAACGATACGATAAATGAAATTATGATTACTTAACAAATAGATTTAGTAGTAAACGATTTATGAATTTATAAAAAAATCTTTTGAACACAACAWCGTATTCAAGTTTGTAAGGCCCGCGCTATACGCCGAACTTCACATGTGCCGAATACAACTCCTATTTTAGTCGACTTTTTTAAATACGGCATTTGATTTAAAAGTGACGAATTTAATTTCCAATCCCCTCTCGGTCAAAAACCTCACAATAAAACACACTTATTCATGTTTCTATTTTTTATCCCTTTATACAACTAGCGATGCTAACTCTTTTACTCATTTTCTTCTCCTCGCGTTTCTCCATCTTTTCGTCATTTGATTCTTCTCCCCGCTTGTCCATTCCCATACACACTTTCATTTCATGTTCATTATTATCCTTTCCTTCTCAACATGTTCATTATTCTCCATCTCTTTCCCACTCATTTATTCCACTCACCTCTTACCACTGGAAAAAATCGCGCGMTTTAAAAGTTGTAAATTTGATGTAAATATGATGTAAGTGCCCAAAATTCTGTAAATTTAATGGAAATCATTTACATCAAATTTACAGAATTTTGGACACTTACATCATATTTACATCAAATTTACAATCTTTAAAGCGCGCGATTTTTTCCAGTGTACTATCAGCCCCACACACTTCAAACATCCACTCATCAACAATTATTTCTCTTTCCCCTGCCCATATACATGCCACCTTCTATTTCATCACTATMATTTCCTACCCCTTCTTCTTTCAGATTCCTCGCACATTTTTTCATTAGTCCAACCCCATTTCAATTACTGCTGTGAAGTACAAAAGCTTCAAAACAAAGCCGCAGCTAGGGTGTTAACCTTTTCTGACTATGAAGCTAGTGCCGAACCTTTTTTGAAATCCTTGKCTGGCCAAATCTAGAGTCGCAAAGAAAATTTCATAAGGCTTTCATGGTTTACAAATCATTATATGGGCTCGCACCTGAATATATGCAATCCATGTTCACATACCGTGACACCATTATACTCTCTGAGACACGACGAGGGCAAACTAACTGTACCAAAGCCCCGCACTACTTGAAAGATAGCTTTAGCGATAGTGGTGTGGTTCACTGGAACAGTTTGCCAGTAGGGTTACGGCAAGCAGAAACGCTAACAAGTTTCAAAGCTGGGCTGCAGTAGTCAAGTCTAAAGTTTATATCAATTCTAGTTATTGTCCTATTTTATTGTTATCATATCATTTATACTTAGCTAGTAATTGTAATTTACCTGATGAGATTGACCGTGGATAAATACAGTTTTAAAAAATTATAAAAATAATAATAATAAAAAAATGTTATACTCGAATGATCGCGGACTTGATTCTCGACTCATTTTTTTTCTGAAATGAAGTTGTTATATAGTCATGTTAATTTTTTTCTGTAGATATTCCTTTAACAATCATTTTCGAGCCGTTRTTTTGATTTTMACACCGACTATTGTACTCGAATAGCGTCCTTCCTTTTTTAGTGAAATATACTTATTCTTATTTTTCTTGTAGTTATTTGTTTTACATATTTTACACGCAAGATCATACTTGAATAGCGGCGTTGAACTGACGATMTCTCGACTTGAGCAGCCTCTAAACATTTTCTTTCTTTCTTTAACTCTAAAATATACTCGTTCTTTTTTTTCTAAAATCATTTTATACAAAGCTAACTTTCATCTTATAAATTCTTTGAGGATAACGCGAATGCAATCTGAATGCTAAAAATATTGAAAAAAATGATGTGAAAAGATCATACACAAAATCTATCAAATCGATCGCGTCGCTGGTAAAAGTATATATTAGCGTAGCCTGGACACGGTATGTTCCACGAAGTGGTTCTTGTTTTTCTTTATTAMCCCCCTTTTACTTCTACTTCTTTAATTTTCTTTCATTTCTTCCCTTCCTTTCCCCATTTATTCATCCCCCCATTCAACTTCTCTCCTTTCCATTCCCATACGTACTTCCATTCATATATTCGAGCCACACACAAAAMAAGACACCAAAAAAACACCATTAAAACATTATGTCTAACGTAACAGACTTCGTGACAAATATCGTGATATATGACAAATTAATCTCACTATTGTTCTACAAAACAACAGAACGTCAACAAGGGCTTTCGCATGATGTACAATCATGCGGCGAAATAGCAAGCACACAAAATTAACATTTTTTATAATTTTTCTGCGCCCGTCCAAACATTTCAACTGAAAAGAGACCAAATGAAAAACCTAAAGAGGGGATTCGTCTTCGTACTCAAGAAATTTAAAAAGATTCTATGGACTAGTTTTTGAGATAAGACGTTCGACATTTGTATCCGTCAGATGGACAGACTAGCACTAAAATTACACTTTAAGTATTATGGCTCTGCCTCAGGAACGGATTGACGAACAGCGCCCAAACTAAACATGAATGTAGCATTAAACGGCGTTTACACGAGCAATTTTTCCTTGACAAGGGAAAATTGCTTGTGTAAATGGGGTAAAATGGACAATCAATTTTTTCTTGTCAAGGAAAAGCCAACATTGTCAAGGACAAAATTTGCTCGTGTAAATGGACAACAAGGAAAATGTGGGAAGGAAGAATTGTCAAGAAAAACTTGTTGATCATTCACACGGGCAATTTTTCTTGTCAAGAAACTTGTAATAAACTACACTAGCGCAGAAATCAAATGATCTACATCAGAAGTACATAATCATTTTTGAATTCTATAGAAAACATACTTTACTATATGATCAATGTAGCAAAAGTATTTCAAGAGCAATATGGTTTGCAAAAACTAGGGAAAAGTTCAGACAAAGATGAAGAAAAATGTAAAACAGCGTGCTAAGAAAAGTATAGTGTAAAGTAGCTTCCTTACAGTCAAATAGAGCTGGACTTAAACAAAGCCAAAGGTAAAGTAATTTTCGCCTTTTAAGGTGAGATGGAAAAGCTGTAAATTTTCAGGTAGGCGRTTTTTTTTTGAAATTCAAGTTAGCTATCGATATTTCTTTGATGACTTTTCTTGTTTGTGGCTTTTCACAACTTATCTTGTTTATTGTTTGGTTTTCGTTATTACCCTCTGTACCTATTCGCTAGTTTGTTTATTCCTCACTTTTTCTTTCAAAGAACAATCATTTTTCAACTCCTTACACAGTGAAGAGTTCACAATATAATATGAACTTAATTTGAACATCATTTCGCAAAAAAAGAGTTTTTGATTGACTTTTTGTGACATTTTTCGCACTCGGGCATC